ATGCGTCCTCTTTTATACATTTTTCCATATACGGTCGCCGTAGCGTACCGCGCACGTGTCGAACACGCTCGGCGCCCTGCGTTGAGGTGTGCCCTTGAAGCGTATTCTTTTACAATCACAGATAACACCGGCGAGACAGTCGCAAATCTTGAGCGATTTTTGCTAATGTCACGATCCGGTCTGCGAACGCGGTGAATATAATACAATGTTACTTGTAATTATATATATTATTAGTAGCGATGATGCGAGATTAGTACAAGAGAATATAACTCACAATCGAAACTCTATTCGTTACGCGTCTGTGCGTTTTGTATAAATTAATATTTTATAATACTATATAAATACACAACACACAAGCAAAACCAACAAAAATCCGATGTGACGATATTTCTCTCTCGACACAATTCCCACATCAACGTGAACCGGCCGGCGCAGTGCGCTCGACGGTTTCGCTCCACATATATACCGAGAGCAATAGTCCACGTCGGCATTGGAACGGGCGCGGCGCGCGACCGCCGAATGTTTCTCGTAGAGCGTTGAGAGTCGGTTTTAATTTTATTATTGATGTGTACATTAATATGTAATGTAAATAAATAAATTGATTAATGTGTGTGCAGTTTCTTTTAATTATTATTTTAATTATTATATAATATTGTTTATATTTTTTTTTATTATAATTTTTTTTATAGATATTAGTTAGTGAACTACATTCATTGGTGGGATATTTATTAGCGATATAAAAGCGATATAAAATAATATTAATTAAATAAATGAAATGAAATGAAATTATAAATAATAATATATACTTAGTTACGTACGTACACACATAGCACCGGTCGGGTTTCTAGTACAACGTGCGCGCGGGCGCACCGGAAGCCGTCGTCGGTCGTTAGAGTCACTGAGCGCATTAATGTTTCTCGTAGAGCGTTGAGAGTCGGTTTTAATTTTATTATTGATGTGTACATTAATATGTAATGTAAATAAATAAATTGATTAATGTGTGTGCAGTTTCTTTTAATTATTATTTTAATTATTATATAATATTGTTTATATTATAATTTTTTTTATAGATATTAGTTAGTGAACTACATTCATTGGTGGGATATTTATTAGCGATATAAAAGCGATATAAAATAATATTAATTAAATAAATGAAATGAAATGAAATTATAAATAATAATATATACTTAGTTACGTACGTACACACATAGCACCGGTCGGGTTTCTAGTACAACGTGCGCGCGGGCGCACCGGAGGCCATCGTCGGTCGTTAGAGTCACTGAGCGCATTAATGTTTCTAGTAGAGCGTTGAGTGTCGGTTTTAATTTTATGATTGATGTGTACATTAATATGTAATGTAAATAAATAAATTGATAAATGTGTGTGTGCAGTTTCTTTTAATTATTTTTATAATATTGTTTATATTTTTTTTTATTATTATTTTTTTATAGATATTAGTTAGTGAACTACATTCATTGGTGGGATATTTATTAGCGATATAAAAGCGATATAAAATAATATTAATTAAATAAATGAAATGAAATGAAATTATAAATAATAATATATACTTAGTTACGTACGTACACACATAGCACCGGTCGGGTTTCTGGTACAACGTGCGCGCGGGCGCACCGGAGGCCGTCGTCGGTCGTTAGAGTCACTGAGCGCATTAATGTTTCTAGTAGAGCGTTGAGTGTCGGTTTTAATTTTATGATTGATGTGTACATTAATATGTAATGTAAATAAATAAATTGATAAATGTGTGTGCAGTTTCTTTTAATTATTTTATAATATTGTTTATATTTTTTTATTATTATTTTTTTATAGATATTAGTTAGTGAACTACATTCATTGGTGGGATATTTATTAGCGATATAAAGCGATATAAAATAATATTAATTAAATAAATGAAATGAAATGAAATTATAAATAATAATATATACTTAGTTACGTACGTACACACATAGCACCGGTCAGGTTTCTAGTACAACGTGCGCGCGGGCGCTACCGGAGGCCGTCGTCGGTCGTTAGAGTCACTGAGCGCATTAATGTTTCTAGTAGAGCGTTGAGTGTCGGTTTTAATTTTATGATTGATGTGTACATTAATATGTAATGTAAATAAATAAATTGATAAATGTGTGTGCAGTTTCTTTTAATTATTTTTATAATATTGTTTATATATTTTTTTATTATTATTTTTTTTTTATAGATATTAGTTAGTGAACTACATTCATTGGTGGGATATTTATTAGCGATATAAAAGCGATATAAAATAATATTAATTAAATAAATGAAATGAAATGAAATTATAAATAATAATATATACTTAGTTACGTACGTACACACATAGCACCGGTCGGGTTTCTAGTACAACGTGCGCGCGGGCGCACCGAGGCCGTCGTCGGTCGTTAGAGTCACTGAGCGCATTAATGTTTCTAGTAGAGCGTTGAGTGTCGGTTTTAATTTTATGATTGATGTGTACATTAATATGTAATGTAAATAAATAAATTGATAAATGTGTGTGCAGTTTCTTTTAATTATTTTATAATATTGTTTATATTTTTTTTTTTTTATTATTTTTTTTATAGATATTAGTTAGTGAACTACATTCATTGGTGGGATATTTATTAGCGATATAAAAGCGATATAAAATAATATTAATTAAATAAATGAAATGAAATGAAATTATAAATAATAATATATACTTAGTTACGTACGTACACACATAGCACCGGTCGGGTTTCTAGTACAACGTGCGCGCGGGCGCACCGGAGGCCGTCGTCGGTCGTTAGAGTCACTGAGCGCATTAATGTTTCTAGTAGAGCGTTGAGTGTCGGTTTTAATTTTATGATTGATGTGTACATTAATATGTAATGTAAATAAATAAATTGATAAATGTGTGTGCAGTTTCTTTTAATTATTTTATAATATTGTTTATATTTTTTTTATTATTATTTTTTTATAGATATTAGTTAGTGAACTACATTCATTGGTGGGATATTTATTAGCGATATAAAAGCGATATAAAATAATATTAATTAAATAAATGAAATGAAATGAAATTATAAATAATAATATATACTTAGTTACGTACGTACACACATAGCACCGGTCGGGTTTCTAGTACAAC